ATGGGAAACAGTGGCTTGATCAGCATAGCCCTGACTGTTAATGAACAACTTAATACATTATCCCTCTTAGTAGTTTTTTTATCTGTTCTACTTAATATGACTGGTTTAGATCTGTAATTGATGCACAGTTATTCTTAAGTGTTGAAAATTAACTGAAATGTGATCCCTGTTGAACATGGTGGTGGGAATGGGAGAGGGAAGAGATGTATAATTTGGGACATGCTCAGGCTGACTTGCCCCAAATGGTGGAGTTGGAAGCATACCAGGGGATTCCAATTCAATCCCATCGAGGTGGCATGTACCAATGCCATCTCACTGTTCCAGGTGATCAGTTTCAGTTCACAGTTGGTCATGGTGGAGGGACTGGGAGTCAAAGGGAGCACATAGACAAGTCTAGTACCTGCTAACGCTAACTGATGGAGTAAATAAAGGGGAGAGTGATCCAACATGGGAAGTGAGATACTCAGCAGACTCATAGAATGGCAGATGTCCTAAATAGCACTCTGGCCTCAGAATCAGCCCTAAAGGCATTCGGAGCTGGCTGAAAAGCTCATGAGAGTATTTCAGGCATGGAAAGCCAAGACACTCTGGCAAAAGATCTCTGCGAGTGAGATCCCAGTGGAAAGAACAGGTCATCAAAGAAGGAGGTAGCTTTCTCTGAAGGGAGGAGAGAACCTCCACTTTGATTATGACCTTGTCTAAACAAGATAAGAGTCGGAGAACTCAGAGGGCTTCCATAGCCTTGGAAACTCATGACTGGAGCATAGGGAGATTACTGATGCCATAGACAGGAGTGTCAATTGGTAAAGTCAACAACAGGAGTCACTGTGCACTTACTCCTCATGTAGGATCTCTGTCCTTAATGTGCTGTACATTGAGATTTAATGCTATAACGAGTACTCAAACAATATATTTCACTTTGTGTTTCTATGGGGGTGCAAACTGTTGAAATCCTTACTTAATGCATACTAAACTGATCCTCTGTAAAAAAAAAAAAAAGAAAAAAGAAAAAAAAAAGAAATTATCAATTCCCAACTTGACTCTCACTGGGATTAAACATGACAATAGGTCTGCTCTGATTTCATCATCATTTAAAAAAAATCATCTATTATTTTTCACTTTATGTTTCTGTGTGGGAGCAAACTGTTGAAATCCATACTTAATGTATACTAAGCTGATCTTCTGTATATTAAGATAATCGAAAATGAATCTTGATGTGAATGGAAGGGGAGAGGGAGTGGGAAAGGGGAGGGTTGTGGGTGGGAAGCCATTGTAATCCATAAGTCGTACTTTGGAAATTTATATGCATTAAATAAAAGTTAAAAAAAAAAATGTGACCCTAACCAGCAACACCGGCCTCGCCCACGAGTGTGCTGAAACTACAAGCTTCCAGGCCCGTGAGCTTTAACAAGCCCTGCAGTGGGTGCTACTGCCCATTCAAGTCTGAAAACCACTAATATTTATTTTATTTATTTGAAAGGCAGAATGACAGAGAGAGGGAGGGAGAGATCTTCCATCCGCTGGTTCACTCCCCAGGTAACTGGAGTGGCCAGGGCTGGCCCAGGCTGAAGCCAGGAGCCCAGAACTCCATCCAGGTTCCCAACATGGGTGACCCAAGCACTAGGGCCATCTTCTGCTGCTTTCGCAGGCGCATTAGCAGGGACCTGGGACAGAAGTGGAGCAGCCAGGACTCCGATAATGGAACACCAGTGTCGCAGGCAACGGCTTAACCCACTGTGCCACCAGGCTGGTCCCTAAAAACTACTGTCCCAAGGTCACTGTGCCACCAGTGTCTGAAGTGTCCTTAGTAAATATTTCCCAACGCCAGTCTCTGGATTGTGGTGCTTTTCATTGTCAGTCCTGTCATTCACCAAAGTCTGTGACCCCGTGCTCAGGTGACAGGGATTCTGCAATGGACTGAATGCTTGTGCCTTCCAAGCTCATTTGTTGGCATCCTAACCTCAAAAGTCACGGGCTTAGGGGGTAGTGTCGTTCCCCGTCTTCGTGGAGGAACGACACAGGACCCTGCGCTGTTCTTTTGTCTGCTCGGCCCTCCCCGGGTTTGCTGCTGGTTCTTCCCGGGTTGGCTACCGACCCTTCCACCTCTGTGGAAGGGCGGTTCCCCCTGCCACATTCCCCACTTCCGCGGGGGAGCGGCACACCGCCGGCCGGCTCTCTCGGGGGCTGCTCAGGTGTTCCTTCAGATAGATGTTCCTGGTGCATGTTGTCTCTCTCCTCCTTTATAGTCCTCTTCCACCAATCCCAACTCTGCTACCCACACGCCGAGTACGCTGCTCTCCTCCAATCAGGAGCAGGTCCTGCTGTTTATTGGTTGAACTGGAGGCAGCTGTGTAGAAGCTGTTTCCTCCTCTCCCAGCGCCATATTGTGGGAGAGCAGATGCATAGAATAAGTCTTAATTCCAGTAACAGTCTAGTCCGAGTTGCTCCCCACAGGGTAGGGCCTGCAGGGATACTTGGGTCAAGGGGCTGCAGATGTCCTGTACGTTGCACCATGTGAGGACAGCAAGAGGTGCCATCCAGGAGCCAGAGAGTGAGCCCTGACAGTCCCAACCTGTATCCTCATCTTGGACTCCCCGACCTCCAGAACAGTGGAAATAAATGTCCATAACAGGACAAACTAAAGCAAGACAAACTAAGACAGCTGCCCGGAGCCAGCTCTGTGGCATAGCGGGTTAAGCCACTGTCCACAGTGCTGGCATCCCATATGGGCGCTGTTTCAAGTCCTGGCTGTTCCACTCCGATCCAGCTCACTGCTAATGTGCCTGGGAAGGCAGTGGAAAATATCGCAAGTCCTTGGTCTCCCATACCCACCTGCGAGACCTGGAAGAAGCTCCTGGCTCCTGACTTGGGCCTGGCCCAGCCCCGGCTATTGCCACCATTTGGGGAGTGGACCAGCAGATGGAAGAACTCTGTCTTGCCTGCCTCCCTCTCTCTCTCTTTCTCTCTCTCTCTCTAACTCTGACTTTCAAATAAATAAATAAATCTGTTAAAAAGAGAGAGAGACAGAGAGAGAGAGAGAGAGAGAGCGCTTCCCACAGCTCTCTGCCCTCATGCCTGGCCCTGCTCTGCACTCTTGGTCCCTCTGCTGGTGTATTGGGCACACTGTGACTTACTCTCCTCACTTCCACGTTCAGTATTCTCTCAATGACTCCTGAAGCGCCCGACTGTCCCAAAGGAGAGCTCTGGGTTCTGCCTTGGGACCTACCCATGGTTACAAATCTTCCACCGTGGCTCTCACCATAATATCAGATTCTCATCTCCTGAGGTCTCACAGCTCAGCTGGTGAGCGCCCACTCAGACCAGGTGGGGTGTGTGAGTCCTGCTCTGTTACAGCAAAATATCCGAGGCTGGATAAGCTTCGAAGAAAAGTTTTGTTTAGCTCATGGTCTAGGAGGCGGAAAGTACAGAAAGCACGGTGCGGGCTCTTGCTAGGGCTGTCCTGCTACAGCACAGCCCGGAGGATGGCATCATGGCAGAAGTGCACGCCAGAGGAGGGATTGCAAGGCCAGATGGGAGTCCGGGGAGTGGGGACAAGCAGTTGCCCTTTTACAACCTCCCTCAGTAGAAACTAACTAGGGTCCCCTGAGAACTCTGCCAACTCCTTCTTCAGGCAGAGATCTCAATGACCTAATTATTTCCCACTGGGCTCCACCTTTTAAAGGCCCCATGCCACCTCCCAACGTCACCCACCAAGTTTCCAACACATGAACCTTTGGGGGGAAAAACCCTAGCCAAGTTATAGCATGGGACTGACGTGCCTTCTCTTAGAGTGACTTGCCCATTTCTCCTGTGGGACTTGATGTTCAGCTTGGGTTTTGTAAAGCCAGTGGTTCTTAAACTTGGTCTTGGGGCCAGCGCTGTGGCATAGCGGGTAAAGCCATTGCCTATAATGCTGGCATCCCATATGGGCACCGGTTCGAGTCCCGGCGGCTCCATTTCCAATCCAGCTCTCTGCTAAGGCCTGGGAAAGCAGTAGAAGATAGCCCGTCCTTGGGCCCCTGCGCCCATGTGAGGGACCTGGAAGAAGCTCCTGGTTCCTGTCTTCAGATCGGCACAGCTCTGACCATTGTGGCCATCTGGGGAGTGAACCAGCAGATGGGAGACCTCCCTCTCCCTCTCCCTCTCCCTCTCCCTCTCCCTCTCCCCTCTCCCCTCTCTCCTCTCCCTTTCCCTCTCCCTCTCCCTCTCCCTCTCCTCCTCTCTCTGTGTAACTCTGACTTTCAAATAAATAAATAAATCTTTAAAAAAAAAACTCAGTCTTAGGTCAGACTCCTCTGAGAGATTATGGAAACAGAGCTGGGCCCCACCTGCAGAGCTTCTGATTCCGGAGTCTTGGGTGTTGCCCACAATTTGCATTTCTAATCCAAGGCTGTAAGCCCAGATCACTGATGGGTGATGTAGATGGGTATAATGAATCCAGACTCACCCCTTTCCCAAATGACTATTCCCTGTCTCCCAAGAAATCCAAATCATCCACCAATGAACTCAGTACATTGATCCATCTTCATTGTAATTCAATGTGCTGAATAAAAAACCATTTTGAGGTGACTTTAACTCTTATTTGGCCATCAGAGAAGAGTTTCTACCCCATGAGCTACGAGAAGCGCTTTTCCTCCAGGGGAAATGGTATTCTCTGTCACTCCTATGATCTGCTGTTCTTGGCACTGACTCGGGCTCTCGTACACCAAGGCGGAGGCTGGGTAGGGGGTGGAGAGTCAGGGTTGAAAAATCCTGAAGCAGGAAACAGAGGCCCAAGGGAGGAAGTGAGAGGCTAGGCTCTGAGAAGCAAGTGGGATGTGACGTTATCATTCCCACCAAGGACCGCAAGAATTCAGTGAGCCTTCAGAGGGAGACCCTGCCTTCCACCCTGGCGGCTCCGTCCACCAAGGCCGACCCAGAAACGGAACACTGCAGACTCAGGGCTCTTCTCTCATCTCGACACGGCAGCTGCTGCTCCCAAAACAAGGTCAACTGGAAATCCACTGCCAGAACCCTCACCCCAGCCGTGGAGCCACGGCGATGGGACAGAACCATGCCCAGAGGGCCAAGTCCCCCTGCCACATTCCAGGTGTCATTCTGCCATCTGCAAAACACTAACCACGCTGCCTTCTGACCCTCAGCCCTAGACTCAGACACCAGCCTCAAGCTGATGACTCAAATGCCAACAGCTCTGGCGGAATGGTGTTCAAACGCCCCCGCTCATGGTCTCTTACTCCTCCCAGTGGTTCCCCAGAGTCTAGAATCTGAGAAGTGAAACTGAACCTGCTACCCCTTTTCTTGAAGGGTGAGGAAGAACCTTTCACGACTTTATATCAGGCCTGCTATTTTTCCTTTGGTCACACACATGCCCTCGCCATGAAGGGCTTCACAGCTACCCTCCTTGTCTGCATGTTGCTTGGGGGCAGCCCTGGGGGAGCCTGGCCCACACACCTTGCCTGCAGGAGCGGTGGCTTGGAGGTGTTCTACCAGAGTTGCGGTAAGGTCTTTTCCAAATATCCATTGGCGTTGATGGGGGAAATTAAGGCCCAGACTGGAGCTGCGGAAGCATATGGTTGGGGTGGGTGAGGGTCGGGGGGAGGGACCAGCGGCTGGACTCTCTCTACCTGCAGTGGACCTGCAGAGGTTACTGAGGGCCCTTGGGAGACTGGGGTTGCAGAGAGCAGCAGAGAGCATAGTAAGACTAACATAGAGCAATTCGCTGATAATACTACAGGGCCAAAGAGCAGCGTGAGCAATGAGTCTCCTAAATCGTGACCCTCGCCAGCTGAACGTCAGGGAGAGGTCTCCAATAGCCGCACCCCCCCCCCAAGACTGTGCAGCCACCATGCCAGTGCTTCTCTGATGATAGAGATCCCAAACGCGGGTGAGACACGGTTGTTACCCAGTGGGCCGCTCCAAGGGGCCTACGGGAATTGCAAGCCAATGAACAGAATGTATGAGTGGCCTTAATCAGCCAACATCGGAAGCCACCCCCTGGGTATGGCTTAGTCGGCTAGTGTTCCCAGAGCACCAACCACTAGGGGGCGTAATCACAGAAATGTGTTGGCTCACAGTTCTGGAGGCTGGAAGTTCAAGATCAGGATGTCAACTGGGTTGGTATCTTTCTTTGTAAAACAATATTTATTTATGGGACTGGTGCTGTGGCGTAGCAGGTAAAGCCGCTGTCTGCAGTGCCAGCATCCCATATGGGCACTGGTTCGAGTCCCGGCTGCTCCACTTCCTATCCAGCTCTCTGCTATGGCCTGGGAAAGCAGCAGAAGATGGCCCAAGTCCTTGGGCCCCTGCACCTGCTCCTAGCCTTGGATTGGTGCAGCTACAGCCATTGCGGCCACTTGGGGAGTGAACCAGTGGATGCAAGATAGATCTCTCTCTGCCTCTCTGTAACTCTGCCTTTCAAATAAGTAGACAAATCTTTTTAAAAATAAATTTATGTGCAAGGCAGAGAGACAAGAGACAGAGATTATCTACCTGCTTGTTCACTCTCCAAATGCTGGCAACAGCCAGGGGTGGGCCAGGCTAAAACCAGAACCTGGACACTTAATCCAGGTGGATGGCAGGGACCCCCGTGTGTGAGCCACCACTGCCGCTTCCCAGGGTGACCTTTTAGCAGGAAGCTGGAATTGGAAGCAGAGCCAGTCCTCGAACCCAGGCACCCCAGATGTGATGTAGGCATCCCATGTGGCAAATTAACCACCACATCAAACACCAGCCACCAGTCAGGTTGGCTGCTCAGCCTCTCCTTGGCTGCGGATGGCTGCCTTCTCTCTTTGTCATCACCTGAGCTTCCATCTGTGTCTCAATCCCTTTTTGATTAAGGCCCATCTCGTGACTTCCTTTTAACTTAATCACCCTTTTGAAGACCCAATGTGCAAATACACACACACTCTGAGGTGCTGGGGAGTAGACTTCAATACAGGCATTTAGGGGGCCACAGCCCATCCCACAGCAAGGTTCCTGGGTGGGAAGAAGGGAGCTCAGGCTCGGGCTCATATCTTGAGCGGAGATGAGTGGAGCTGGCTGGTGAAAAGATTTCTGCCACTCTCAGGGGGAGGTGGGGGTATTGCTGTCTGTTCTGCAGGAGGGGAAGAGGAGCTGCCACTCAAGCATCTAAGTTGGCCATTCTATGAGCTGGAGAGTGGCACAGTACAGCTGCCACCACCAGGCTGCCTCAGAGAGGACGGCACAGAGAGCCCAGTCTCAGGCCCGCGCCTGCCCTGACCTCCTGGAAAACAGGAAGAGAGGGAGCAAGAGGAGCTGCGGAGAGGGAACAGAATATGCAAAGCAGGGAGACAGAGCCGTGAGCAGGCTGAGAGCTCAGGACACTTCAGAAGGGCTGGGAACACAGGAGGATGAGAGATGAGGTGGAAGATGTGGACCGAGCCCCAAGGAAGAGCTGCCAACCTCTGGCCTTGAGGAGGCTGAGTTTTGGAAAGACTCCTAGGGCAGGGAGTGGGAATCTAGATATGCAGCTAGAAGCTCTCTGTGGCTGGAAACAAGGTTCACAGCCAGGACAAGCAAGCATTTAGGAAAGAAACCCTAGACCCCAGGGCTAGCAGCATCTCAATAGCCTTAATTAACATTAGGGGGTATCTTCGGCGCACTGTGGGGTCAGCAGAAAGGAGAGCAGCTTGTTCCTGTAGCTCCCACCTGGCTGGGCCGTGCCTCAGCTCCTGAAGGCCGTGGCCTAGCCTTTACACTGATAGTGTTGCACACACTGCCTGCAGGAGGCTTGTCCAGTGCACACCAGGCTCCAGGGAAGGTCATCTGCCAACAGAAGGGCCACTGCGTCCCCGTCAGTGCTGAATTTGTCTCTTCTGCTTGCACTCTGTAATTTGAGTGAGCTGTGGGGTGGAGACCTGGCCAGTACAAACACCCTTGAGGCGAAAGAAGGAAGCAAGTGCAGAGTACTGAGCTCTGACCCCTGACCAGGAAGTGAGCAAAATCTGAAAAAGCAGAAGTGCCGCCTGTCCAACTGTCAGAGCTGTGGGAAAAGGGACAGCCGGAGGGGAAAAGCAAAAGCAATTCAGGGGGCCTTATCTTTTTAAATTTATTTTCCCCCAAAAGAACCTTTTATTAAAGGACTAAAGACCTCATGCATTCCATAAGTACAACTTTAGGAATATGATTTTTCCCACCATAGCTGCCCTCCACCCACACTCCCACCCCTCCTCCTCCTCCCTCTCCCATTCCTAGTCCCATTCTCCACTAAGATCTATTTTTGATTAACTTTATACACATTAGACCAACTCTCTATTAAGTAAGGAGTTCAACAATTTGCATGGAAAACAAAGCAAAACAACAACAACAAAACTTCCTCAACAGCTGAGGCAGGGCTGTTCAAAGTCATTGAATCTTGAAGTTAATTTCATTTTTTTTTAGAAATTTAATTAAATTTAAAGAAGTACCCAAGAATGATACATCTTTTGCAGGCACATAGACACAGGTCCTGCATGGGAAGTTAGTACACAGTGACTCTTGTTGTTAATTTAACAATTAACGCTCTAATGTAGGACATCAGTGATCACCGGAGGCTCTTGACATGAACTGCCTAGGCTAAGGAAGCCTTTTGAGTGCACAAATTCTGTCATTACTTAGAAAAGGCCATAGGAAAAGTGGAAGTTCTCACCTCCCTTCAGAGAAAGGTACTTCCTTGGATGACCACTTCTTTCCACTGGGGTCTCACCCACTGAAGTCCTTCATGTAGGACATTTTTTGCCACAGTGCCTTGGTTTTCAATGCCTGAAATGTTCTCATGGGCTTTTCAGCCAGATCAGAATGCCTGAAGGGTTGATTCTGAGGTCAGAGTGCTATTGAAAGCAGTTGTCATTCAGAGTCTGCTGAGTGCACTGCTTCCCATGTTGGAGAATTCATTCCTTTTTGACTCTATTTATTATTATTACCAGACCTTTAATCCTATCCATATGATCACTTTAACACTTAAGATGATATTTTTACAACCCAGCTTAAGGAGATTTGGGGTCCAATGGCAAGTTTTTAAACTGTACCCTTTGAAGTAAGTCCATAGGAATGTATGCAGAACTATACAGCTTTACAGTTACAAACTTCATACACTTCATAATTGCAACTGTAGGAACATGGTGATTCTTCCCATCCATACCTCCCACCCATACTCCTAACCCCTCCCCCTCCTCCCCCTCTTAGTCCTACTCTTATGTTTTACTGAGACCCATTTTTCAATTGACTTTATACACATATGTTTAACTCTATGTTAAGTAAAGAGTTCAACAAATACTATATAAAAAAATCCTGTTCCTCAACAGTCAAGACAAGGGCTGTCCAAGTCAGTGCTTCTCAGAGTGTCAATTTCACTTCTACAGATTGCCTTGTAGGTGCTCTACTAGTTATCACAGGTCAGGGAGAACATGTGGTACTTGTCCCTTTGGGACTGGTTTATTTCACTAAGTATGATGTTTCCCAAATTAATCCATTTTTGTTGTAAATGACCAAATTTCATTTTTTACCACTGTGTAGTATTCCATGTGTACATATCCCATAATTTCTTTATCCAGTCTTCAGTTGACCAACATTTGTGTTGATTCCATGTCTTAGCTATTGTGAACTGAGCTGCAATAAGAATGGGGGTGCAAATAACTCTTTCATATGCTGATTTAATTTCTCTTGGGTAAATTCCCAGGCGTGGGATGGCTGGGTCATATGATATAGGTCTATATTCAGATTTCTGATGTATTTCCACACTGTCTTCTATAGTGGCTGTACCAGTTTACATTCCCACCAACAGTGTATTAGGGTATATTTTTCACCACATCATTGTCAGAATTTGTTGTTTGTCGATTTTTGTATGAAAGCCATTCTAAATGGAGTGAGGTGAAACCTCATTGTGGATTTAGTTTGCATTTGCCTGACGGCTAGTGATCCTGAGCCTTTTTCGTGTGTCTGTTGGCCATTTGGATTTCCTCTTTTGAAAAATGCCTGTTTAAATAGTTTGCCCATTTCTTCACTGGGTTGTTTGTTCTGTTGTTTCTGAGTTTCTTGATCTCTTTATTATATTCTGGCTATATTATATTCTTGACTGTTTGCAAATAATTTCTCCCATTTTATCAGTTGCCTCTTCACTTTGCTGAGTTTTGGTTTTTTTGTTTTTTTTTTGTTTTTTTTTTTGTTTGTTTGTTTGTTTTGCTTTTTTTTTTTTTGCAGTACAGAAGCTTCTCAATTTGATTTAATCCCAGTTGTTAATTTTGGATTTGATTGTTTGTGCCTCTGGGGTCTTCAGCAAAAAGTCTTTGCCTATGCCAATATCTTGCAATGTTTCCCCAATGTTCTCTAATAATTTGATGGTTATCAGGTTGTAGATTTAGGTCTTTAATCCATTTGAGTGGATTTTTGTGTAAGGTGAAATAAGAGGTCTTGCTTCATACCTCTACATGTGGAAATCCAATTTTACGAGCACCATTTGTTGAAGAGACTGCCCTTGCTCCAGAGACTGATTTTAGCTAC